AAAATAATAATAATAATAAAAAGTAAAATGTTTGGATTATCCTCCTATTGGCTTCCCCTCCACATAATGACCTCACTAGTAGGAGTTTGAAAATAGCAAGAATTAATTAGCATGCTTTATATAAATTGAAATTAAAAATTACTCACAGACCAGGATGCATTGTAAGTTGACAAGTCGTAGCTGTGTTTGTAGAAGTGACTGCAAGCAGAGAAAATGCAGCCTTCAGAAATATGTTATAGAGCTTGCTATGAAACAGTTGGGGCTGAATTTTCCTGTGATGCATATGCCCACTGGCTTAGCTTGACTGGCTGGGAAAAATGGTCACTTAAATGCTCTCGATAAATTGAATTTCATATTACACAACTCTCACTAGCCAGAGACCATACCAAGAGAACATCCCCTCTGACCTCCCTCACTCGGTCCATTATTTTATAAAAGAAAGATCTTGGTCTATGTTCTCGCAGTCTAATATTCATTCTTGGTTCTGATCATAAGACTGACAGATTTAAATAAACACAAGTCAGAGCACAAAAATTAATATTTCTAAGAAGAACATCAAAATCAAGGAATTAGGATTGATGATGTAAGAAGTGACATTTCAATTGAACAAGTTTGTTCTTCACCGGTTTGAGATGGCGTGTAAAATGCAATGGAATGATAAGCTACATGTAGTTCAATGATAAATGTGCCGTTTTTTGTCACTGATGAGCTACATGTATATTAAGCAATGTTGCAAAAAATTAGGAAATTTTTCGCAGCGCTTGTAATGAGCAGTAACCTGACTTACTTTGGACTCCAAAGCCCAGATTTTGAAGTAACATTTTCAGAATAAAATAATAACAATTTGACAGAGCAAGAAATCATGAAATCAATCTATTACATAACTTCTGTGCAGAATTTGCACCTCAAACCTTTAGCTTGATGTTTACATGGATGTCCTTCTTAAGATATTCACTTGTGGGGAGTGCATGCCATTTGAGGCTGACATTTAATACATTTTCGAGGTTTCTACTCAGTGAGAGTTGGATTGGTTGAGAGAGATATCCACAGTTATTTTTAAATAGTAATTTCCTAATTAATTGCTTAATACCTGTAACCTTGAATTTGTTTTGTTCATCTCCAAGTCACCAGATCTGTAAAATGCTATTGACTCTGCATTTGATCTGATTTGCATGTGTTTAAACCTGAAAATCCAGAATTCAAAGTAATTAATATAGTCTATACTAATCAGACAGTAAAATAGCTTGTAAGAACCTTGCATGCTTCTAAATTCATGACTAACACCACCATACTTAAACTAATTGTATAACTCTCTTTCCAGTATAGAAGAGAGAAGAAAAAGGCGAATTACCTGAAGTCTCCCTCAAGTTTCTCCTGCTTGACCACCACACTGACGATCGGAGTAATTATCACCTTGTTGATTATTGTCCCAAGAATAAAGTAGCTGTAGATGCAAACTGGACCAAGGTACCCTGAACTAAAAGAACAGATTCAAAATATAATGTTGTGACTAAATAAAAATCCTTTTATAAGAACTTAAAATAAATAACTAGATCTATAATCATGGCTTTTTAAGTATTCAGATGAGCTGCATCCTCCGAGGTATGGGAAAAGTACAGTAATGTAATAATGATAATAACAATAACAATAACAATAACAATAACAATACATGAGGAGCTTTACCCTCTAAAAAAATTCTGTCCAGGAGGTCTTTCAATCTTGTACACGACTTATCATCGCACGCCAGGAAATGTAACATGAAACAGGACCCGATACTTACTTTTATTTGTCACGCAGTTTTGCCTTTGCGAACATGCTTGAAGCCAGTGATGCGTTTGTCGCATCTTTATTACGGTACTTTCCTTGCTAAACCGCCAGAATAGCTCACTGTGGGGCTTAAAAGAGATGGTTATAATTTTATGACGTTTTTCTGTGTGGAAACATTGCCAACACCGTCGCGCCAAGGGAAGCCGGTTTGTACCAAAATAATTATGAACAATTATGGCGAAAGCCGCCAGTAGAATTCTACTGTGGTAACATATGTATGAATGCCGAACAAGATTGAAATCAGTAATTACTATATCATTAGTCTTAATTTTGGCATAGCGAAATAGGGATACATGGCGCACGGCACTTTCGATTGATGACTACGACTTCGAGTATATTCTATGTTTTGTTTGAGCCACATTCTTATGTTAGAATGATGTCAAGATATCGCAGTTTACCTTACAATATTATTTTTTCTAGCTATATAGCTAGTATAGACGAGTGTGAATCCTTAAAGCCAGGTCTTGGAATAAATGACGTTTTCCTGGGTTAAGACAACGAGGCATGCATTTGGTGTTTTTGTGTCTCGATGATCATTGTTCATGTTGGACTAAATTTTTGATATGGGCAGGCATCATATTCCAGAGGCGGCTAGTCGATACTGAGAAAGACCTTCCACCCTCAGACTCCCGTTTGAATCTGGGGCAGACAAGGTTTAATTGACCACGCCTGTTCGTTCTTCTGTTCATGTCTGCATTTCTAATAAGAATCTAAGTAAGATAAGATAGGCACTCCCCTAAAATCCATTTATATACCAATATTGACTTATTTATTTTCGTTTCATGGTAAAATGGAACCCAACCTCATTGTTTAAAAAGTTTCACACTGTTCGCTTTTGTGTTGACACCCTGTATTACACGGGCTGCGCGTTTCTGTAGCCTGAACACTTTCTGAATGTTTTCTACAGAGCAGCTGCCAGCACTACATGTAATTATTATCCACCATCCATGATCCAGCAAAAATACACAAATCTGATCTTAGTTTTCTCAAACATATATTTCACTCAACCTCTACCTAGGTCAATCATAGATCCAATTTGCAAACAGTTTGATGAAAAAATTCTAAGGGTTAACAAAATTGGATTAGACCTAGACTGTTCACAGCCCTTTTTCTCGTATTTTTATTTGATCGTACTCGCAAATAGAATCGCGAGAGAATTGGATGCCAGCACAAAACGGAAGACTTGAGTGGGTAGGGGGTGGGGACAGAGAAAAAGAGAGGGGCTGTAGACATCTTTGGAAAAAAGTGAATTCCCCTTTTCTCCAGAAACGGAAAATTCCCATTGGTTGAAAAGCGACAAAAGTATCATCTTCTTGACAATGGCTCATCATGATTGCATCCAGGTGCGTTTTGCAGCTTGCAACAGTTGTCATCACTGACACGTGCCATGATTCGTAATAGAGCGGTTGTTTTTAAAATAGAATCCTGTTCAGAGAAATTTCAGCGTTTCTTCGCTAAAGGATGAACAGATAGAGACTGCTGTTTATCTTTTTTGGTTGGAAGACGTTGTTGCAATTTTGCCCACCGGCTTTGAGGAAAGTCTGATATACCAAATCTAC